TGCTGTGACGTCATCGCGTTGTGCTGTGACGTCATCGCGTTGTGCTGCCGCTGCAGGTAAAAACAGCGCCTTTTATATCGGTGAGTTTCTTTTTTAATGGAATGGCCGATGTTAAACTTTAACACAAATATCAGCATATACTGATACCATGCCGATGATATTGTGCATCCCTAGAAAAAAATAGTTCCATTAAGATCCAGTTAAACTCTTGAAAGACTTGGCTATGGCCCTCTCTCCTAACATGACTGTAAACCTAAAGTTTGACCTTAAATGATCCCGCCAAGATGGCTTAAAATCACATCCAATAATTAGGAACCCAATTTATCTTTTTTTTTTTTTTTTTAAAGGAATACAAATTTAAGGAATAAAAATGTTTTACCAGGTTGTTACTGGGCACCTCAACCTGTTTGATATCTTGACACAATTTCTTTGTCTCTTGTTCTCTCGGGCCAGGCGCTACATAATTTATGATCCGTCTTAAAGATGTCTGGTGCTGCTGAGTCGGCACTTCTTGCTCTGCGTCACTGTCTGTATAATTTAGTATTCGTGTCCTCTTGTTGCCTCAGTGGCTCACAGCTCTGTCAGTCTTACAATGCTTTCATCATCCCGTTGTTGCTGTTTTTGGAGGGGGAAAGGAAAGAAAGCTAGATGTGCTGCTACTGGTTCATACTATCCCCGTGCAATGCTCTGACTACTCTAAGTGGAGCTATAAACAGTCTAATTAAATTGGTTATGATTGTTTTCCATGACTCGGATCATATTATGGTCAGCAGCTAAACTGTTTATAAGTGTAAGTAAACTTGAAAGCTTTTATAGGATTTTCTTTGGGCTTTGTATTCTTATTGCGTTGTTTTGGTACTTTTTGACCAGTCTGGATTTTAACTTCTTTAACCAGACAGAACCCACACATGCAGCTAACACTGAGGAAGCCATCCGCATCACAGCGTTGTGTTTAGTACTAAAACCATGTAATATGGCAAGTTTGCCTACAATCCAGTCCAAAGATGGCGATTTAAAAAAAATAATAATTTCATGCTAAAAAAAATAGCTCCTACTTTTAGGTGACTTCTAGTCATTTCCTTACTTATATTTTGTTTACGAGAATATAATCATTTTAACACTGTTGGATGCTTTTATGCGTATCAATAAAACTAATGCATGTAGGCTTTCTAAAAGGAACATTTTGGTCTGTCTTTTTTTATTTTTATAATTCTATATTTTGGGAACTACTCGGTAGGATTGTTCCTAACATGGTGGCCAATGAAATATTCATCTGACCAGAGAGGAAAAGTGTGTGCATGGAAAGATTCATCACATTCTTCCATCTTTTTATCTTGATCTCTTACCTGGACTGAACTCCCAGATCTTATGACAAACACCTTTTTGAGGTGAGATTTAGAGCTTTTCAAGTTGTCCCGTTTGTGCTCCCATTCATCCCATTCCTTTTATTTATAGGCATTTTTGTTATTTTGTGGACTTTGAGACGAGCTGGTTCTGCCTCGTTTCAAATGTCCCAACGCAACAAATCACTTTGTAGTTAAAAAAAAAAAAAAGCAAACATGTGGATGCATGATGCGTTTTCAGCAGGTCACCTTTCTGTTGCACTTCTCTAATCTGTGTAACTCGGGAACAAAGCTCTGGTCAGATTATATAAATCTGACGAAGACGCCAAACTGTTAAAGAGATGGAGGGACTCTGTCTCTAAAAAAAAGAAGTGGTGGCCGTTGCTATGGCAACCAGATACTTTTTTTTTTAGTGAAGTCGGTGCCATTCCTTTTCAGTCTCTCCACAAATCCCGTGTCTGTTTTGAGACATGGTTTTATCAAAAGTCATGTTTTCATTTTTAAACGCGCACGGATTTCTGTAAGACTTGTTTTTGTGTGTGCCGCTGTGCGATCGGTGAATCCTTCGCGCTGCAGCAAAATGAGCTCTGCATATTTTTCTCATGCGCACGCACACAATCTGCTTCGTCATGGCCGTGTTTTCAGCAGCTGCGGCGGCTCTTACGGAGACGGTTTTAGCAATGCATGTCATCTTAGTGCTACATGTGGGATCATTTCTGACGATCGTAGTTGTGTTGTAGTGTGTAATACACTCATGGCTGTTTTACCCAACAACAGTTGGGGAGGAGGTTCGGACTCAGCGGTGACAAAGCAAAAACGTGTCTGGCGCAGGACAGTCTGTGCTGCTCCTTTGAGATTCTGTTGGAAGCTGGAGCATTTCCTCCCTTTAATCGGCTGTAAGGAGATTGTCTGCAGCGGACCAAAAAATAAAGCTAACAAGGATTCTTTGCGTTTGATAATGAAAGGTTTGAACACCTGTCTTGACCAGGTTGTTCTCCTCTAACTGTAAAGATTTTAAAATTTAGAAAATATCCAAACTGTCTGCAGGGGAATCCCTGGTGCCTTCATCAGTGCAGTTTATACTTCAGTCTTTTTTCATGTTATTTTGTTCTCCTATAATTAAATAAAATGTTATATTAACTCGTCAGATTAACTGTTTTTTGTGAGCAGTACAAATTGTGCGTCGTCTTCAAAGTACGATATGTTCCTGCATGGTTCTTACACGAAAACATCAGAGTTACTTCAAAAACCAAGTCAAGCTAATGGTGCCGCCGAGTAACATCGGGTGGAGAAGGCGTTTTGGAGCCAAGGAACCTAATGTACCAACCACACCGAGTGTGTGTGCTCTAAACTCATGATGTTGTTGGTAAGCTGAGTCTTAAGTGGCAGTATGGTAACGATGCCTGAGATCTGCCTGTCATGGTCTGGACCTTGGGATTCTCTGACTGATGACCCCTCCTGGTTCACCTGCTCCTGAGGTGAAGATAAGCAACAATAATGACGCACAGCTGATGCTGGGGCTGACTCGGGTCAGAAGACTTGGAGGAATTTGCTTCAGATAGATTTGTAGGAGCTCAAAGTCTTGTGGAACTAAACTAATGATTACTGTAACTGGAGCTTCGTAAGAGTAGAACAATTTTAGGAATTTGATCGTTTTAAAAGTGAAACATTAAATGCTCGTTTCTCGTTTTCAACAATCACATTAAAATATAACTTTTACTGTGAGCATCAAGATGATGAGAAATGTAGGCCACAAGTAGTAATCGAACGACTAACTGGCAGAATGGCTTTCACCACTCGCATTTGAGTAGTAATAAAACATTAAAGTTACACAAATCTAATGGAAAACAAGAGTTCTTTTGTATGCTTTCCTTAAGCTGAAATTACAAAAGTAGCCAATATTAAATGCCTTATTTTCCACTGTACACGTCGCACCGCCCTATGATTCGTTTCAGTCCAACTATGTCTAATAAAGTAGAAAAATCCATAAATACGTTGCTTTGCTGTATACGTCGTATTTATATTGCGTTTGTTACGCATCACCGCTGACGACCCGGTAATGTGGGCCGGTGTTGTGCCAAAAATCGATTAGCTGCTAAATGGTGGCCGCGTATATCCTGTATACAGGAGGACTTTAACAAGATTAACACTTAAAAACAATTACTGGTATTTGTTGCTCGAAATTATAGTAAAGGTGTGTCTCAGTTGAACTTTTACTTAATAAATGCACTTCAATGGTCAAATCAGCTTCATTTCTTCAAATCAGCAACAAAATGAAGCTGATTTGACGGTAGCTCCAGGTGAGCTGGACGAAGATTGTCATTAATAGCCACTTTTACCTATTAAATGACACAACAGCATGCCATACTACTGGAGTGTCATCTAGCGGCTGAAAATGGTAGTGTTCAATATTTTCAGTCAGAATGAATGAAAACGATCATAACTCAGCCTAAAATTGATTTATAAATATGGGAGAGAAAAAAAAAACATAAATATGTCGCTTAGGCATAAAAGTTGCAGAGCATGCAAATTATGCAAAAAAAAAACCCGTGACTTATAGGCCAAACAAACAGTAGTTTGTACCTGTAATTACAATTACGTGAAAGAAACGGTGTTGGAATATTCATTGAACTGCAGGTCTCCCCACTCTGCAGTGACGCAGCATTTTGCCTGAAAACAACTCGACCCTATCATCACCTTGAGAGCATCTTGTATGAAAATGGAAGCGGGAGTTTATGGTGAGCATAAGGACATTAGTTGAAGTCAGCGATGCCGTTGGTAATGTCAGACAGCACTTAGCTTTGGAAGATGTTTTATGGAGTCTGAACAGTTTGGCACCCACCTCCCGGGCTGCCGTCAGCTCTGCTCTTTAGTAGAATTTATTATGGAAAAGTTGTAGAAAGAATGACTTCAGTTAAATATTTCTCATTTGTGTAGTATCTTATCATCCTATTCTTGGATCTTTGACTCACAAAATGCCTACCCTTTAACAGATGCTGTTGGAAGTCAGACGATGACTTCATAGCCCTTATTACCATTTGGGGTGGTGCCGCTCCCCCCCCCACACACATACACACACTAGCAGTATGGATAGTTGTCTGTAGTCTTAGACCTGTGTTTATTTGGTCTTTTGACATCCTCCTTCAGAGTAAGCACTTTCTTAGCTCAGTGGGGACTCTTGATCCAAGTAAGGGATGTGATTGATTAATACATAAATGTACATTGATGGACCAATCTCATTGAACTCTATCAGCACTAATATAAACTGATTACAGTAGTAGTCCCTCATTCATCGCGGGTGATCCGTACACTGAAGCCCCGCGATAAGTGGAAAACTACCAATTAGGAATAGTAGTACAAGTAGTAGTTTTATTATATACATATGTATATAGATATATATCTATCCATATCAGGGAGGGCTCGGTTCGGTTAATTTTCGGTACAAAAAAAGACAAAATAAAGACTTACAAAATGTTTATTTTGAAAATATGCCAAGTAATGAATACATTTGTATAAAAATAAATAAAAGCGACCCATTTGGATGATATTTTAAATAAAAGGCACTCTTTACAATAAATAAACTATACAAACAACAATAAAAATCTTAATAAATACAGTAACAGTCAGAACCAGAACAATAAGCAGCAAGTTTACAATCTAACTAATCAAGTTTTAAGTTTTTGGCCAAAAAGACCAACTTGTCCACATTTTCTGCCAAAAGCTCAGATCTAGTTGCAGCGACATCATCTCCAGCGGTGGAGGAAACCTCTCACTAACAGTAGCAGCAATAAAGAGGTAGAGCTTTGCTAATGTTGCAGTGTGGCTGGATTTGGCCTCATTATTAGTCACAACCTCTTGGACCTGCTCCCACAGGTGGGACAGGTCCCTGGAAGAGTTCAGAGTTCACTCACCACAGATTCTTAGCTGGAGGTGATCTCTGGTGGAGTTCCCTGAAGAGGAAGAAGACTCAGCTGCTATCTCTGTCCCAGACTGGAAATGAAACACAAAGTGATTTAAAAAAAATGAGTTAATAAGGTTATAATTTTAAATAAAATAAAAAAAGTTAATTGGGTAATAATAATAAAATAACAATACCTTTTCTTTAAAGGTCATCATTTCTGTTAAGAGGTGGTTGAATTTCTCGTTTATCATCATCAGGGCAGGACTTTAATCTGGTCCAGGGCTTGTTGACGATCAGTTTTAGCTTTTTCATAAAGTGCTGCTACAACTTTGTGGCTGAAGTGTTGACGTGATGTCGTAGCGGGGCTCAATAACTTTAGGTCCAGAGCTTTAAAAACTTCTACATCTTGTGTTGTTGCTCTGCAACGATCTGAATGACCTGATAAATGTTGTTTAAATGCTGCTGGTATCGCCCTTTGCACCAAACTACGTTCACATTTGGATGATGTCGTTTCAAGTGCGTTAACACGTTAGACGTGTTGCTGCTGCAGATCCAGTCTCCGTGAAACGACGTCGACACACAGTTTGGATTTCTTCACTTGTCTTTTAACAAGAAAGACGTAATGTTCCCAAACAGGAGACCGCAACGAGAAGCTAATGCTGCGCGTGCTGCAAGATGATAGCGCCGTGCTGAAACACGCTTAGGAATTTTACTTCCGCGGCGCATAATCGCTCGTTAATAAAATTTAATTAACGGAAAAAATAACCGAAACGGTACGCACTTGCACCGAACCAAACACGCCGTACCGAAACGGTTCAATACACCCACGTGTACCGTTACACCCCTAATAAATAAATAAATATATATATATATATATGTGTAAATATGTGTGTTTTAAACCCTTCCCACACTCTTGCAATATTCTAAACAATGCTAATCTCTAAACGCTCTAAAAGAGCACAGCAGGTCGTGATTTCCCTCTCTCTGCCTCCAGCTGTTCTGTTCTCGGCCACGCCCACTTTTCTGCTGCGGCGATATGACGCACTGCAGGAGGGAAGCTTTTCCTGCAGTTGTGTGCTGCACACAGACCTGTGCAGCAGGTGCTAAGTAATTTAAAATTGATTTTAATAAAAACTCCATGCGGATCGTGCGGCTCATCCATCAATCAGCCATTTGTGTGTCATGTCCAATCTTATTTTGAAAAACCGCGATGGAGTGAGTCTGCGAATAACAAACTGCGAAGCAGCGAGGGAGTACTGTATTTAAAACTGAAGCTACTTTAGTGTTGCTGTATTCTGCCATGATTTGCTTTTTTATACAAGTGCAGCACAGAGGAGACTGATCTCATCTGTCATATGAGTCGTTGCTCTAAGACCTTCTCAATGTTTGTTGCACTTTTTCAAAGACTGCTTTAACAAATGTAACTAAAGACCCACAACACATAGCTCTAACTATACATCATTGTGTTGTTTGTGGTGTTGGTGAAAGTCATGTACTGGTACGTAAGCGACGCGCCACGCAGACCAGTGGCCAAGTGTTGCGCTGTCACGGTGTTCCTCTGGTGGTGCGAAAGATAACGCATAGATCTGAATAACCTCTTTGTAATGGACCTAACGGTCCTTGTAACCATTTAATTTTATTTATTTAACCTTTTATTTAACCAGGCATGGTGATCACCGATCTCCAGAGAGTCCTTGGAACCGTTTGGTGTGGAAACACCTGCAGAGGCAGCAATGTTTGCAGAAGTAACTGGATGAACGTGGAGAAGTGAAACTCTTCATTTCCATGTCCAATTGGGAGATTTGATCATTTTAAGAAACATTTGTTTCGACAAATAAAAGCAGATTTTTTTTTTTTACTGTTCACCTACAGATAAAATATTCATATAATTTAAATATTTAACTATATGAAGTATAAAAACCTGATCCTTCTTCTTTGAGGAAGCGTTTCAAATCTGACTACAATGGCTTTGAAACATCCCTTCATTTCCTGTTTGTTTGTTTGTTTTTTCCCCTTGAAGTTTACCGGATTAGTATTTACTCCGTCGGAGCAGGACGCTGGCGACCTTAGCTGCAAAAGGACAGCATTGACTTGTGTTCCTTTGTCTTCCTCACTTCTGCCTCTTAAAGAGCTGCAGTCTAATTTTAGCCCCCAATCCATCAGATTAGATGTTGGAAAGACTTCTGGTCACATTTGATCAGATTGTCACGATCATCAAAAGTGACAAATTATTTTAGTTCCATTTAAAGACCGAATCCGTGCATGACTTGTGAAAAACTAATTAAGGGTGAGATTTATTTCGCCAGTTTTCTTTCTTTGTTGTCACAGGAGTGCAACACAACAAAAGCCTCTGGTGTTTGTTCAGTGCTGTCTTTTCACTCGAGCAACGCCAAAGCAATGAAACGACGCAGAGGCTTTTTTTATAATTGAAAAGATAATACGAAGTTTTAGATTAGAAAGGCTCGCCTCGCTGACCACATACGGCCGTGCGCTGCTAATTCAACTCAATTTTTTCGGCCTCCTTTAGTCAATTTTTAATCTGCTACGTGATGCCTGTGACACAGCTGCTGGAGGTTGTGAAATTTTCCCTGGCATGCGTTTCTACACCAGAGGCTAACCGTCCTGAAACGTCCTTATTTCAGCATTTAGATTTGACACTTTTACCCCTTCAGTGGTCTATAGTTTGATTCTGCTATCAGTATGTGCGTCATGGTTTTTTGTTCTTCTGTGTGTTGTATCTCTAACTCTGCTCTGTGTTCATGTCAAACAGGGTGAAGAAGGGCCCCCCAGTCTGGAGTACATCAAGGCTAAAGACTTGTTCCCCCAGAAGGAACTGGTGAAGGAAGATGAAAGTCTTCAGGTCAGTTTCTAGACACTTTACTCTGCAGACTAATAGTGCAAGAGTTTGTAAAGTGTTAAAACCAAGTTACACACCAGTGACTCGACAAGTTATACTGGCTTAAAGCAGAGCTGTGAGCACATGTGCCCAACAGTTTGACAGAACCATTCACAAACTGTCCAACAACTTAACTTGACAAACTAGATTTATATTTTTTAATAAAACTCTCCTAGACAGTCTACATAACAATTCTCAGACGACTCTTAAAGATAGCACGACATAAAACAAATAAACTCGTTTTTTTTTTTTTTTTTTGCCTTCTACTAAAATAAAATTGGCATTTGTCAAAATAGTTTTCTTTTAGAAAATAAAAGGTTTGGTTTCCTCAGATTTCTTCTAGTTTGACATGTACTGTTGTATCTAAAAAAAATATTGTGAAGAAGTCAAACAAAAAAATGTCAGTAATTTCAGAAAGTGAAACTTATGTATAATATAAAAAAAAAGGTGTAAGCTCTATCATCCATGTAGATAACAAAAAAGGTAAGATCGTGTCGTCTGGACCAGTTTCTTTAAGTGAGAAACGTTTCATGTTCCATCCAGAGGATTTCCTCAGTCTACGGCCTGCCAACCAGATCCGTCCCATAGGTAGCCTTCACTGTTGTTTCAACCCAACCTCCTGTTGGGATCTCAGAAGCAGGCTTTTAACACGTGCAAACAGAGCACACCCGTCCAAAACAATCAACCATCATGCACAACAATCACATGTTTTAGGCCAGACGGCCAAATTGCTACTCACAGAAACACTTTGAGGACAATCAAGGCCAGTGTGACTGAGGAAGTCCTCTGGATGGGGGACAAAACGTTTCTCACTTAAAGAAACTGGTCCAGATGACACAATTTAACTTTTTAGTATATATTATATAGATTCATTACATGTAATGTGAAATATTTCAAGCTTTTATTTCTTGTAATTTTGATGATTATGGTTTACAGATGATGAAAAACCAGAACTCGATGTCTCAGACAATTAGAATATTGTGTAGAGGTTCAATCTTGTAAACTCCTGGTGTCTCACCCTGATCAGCTGATGAACTCCTTCATGAGCTACAAAAGTCTCGCTCCTCGAGTCCAGCCACTCCTGAACCAGAGACAATGTCAGAAATGTCTCACCTGCTGAGGAGACAAAGAACTGGACTGTCTCTCAGTGGTCCAGTGTCCTCTCTTCAGATTAAAGTAAATGTTCATGTCATTTATAAATCAAGGTCCCAGAGTCTGAAGAGTGGAGAGGTCCAGAATCCACGTTGTTGAAGTCCAGAGTGAAGTTTCCACAGTCCGTGATGGTTTGGGTCCATGTCCTCTGCTGGTTCTGGTCCACTGGATTTTCTGAAGTCCAGTCCACGCAACATCTAGCAGGACATTTTAGAGACTTCATGCTTCTTTGTGCTGACGAGCTTCATGGAGATGCTGGTTTCATTTTCCAGCAGGACTTGGTCCAGGCCCACACTGACAAAGATACCAAAGCTGGCTGTGGAATATTCTCATTTTCTGAGACACTGAGTTTTTACAAGAAATAAAATACGTCACTTTATGAACTGATTGAATTTTTTCACGATATTCATTTTATTATATTTAATTTTTCTGCTGCACCTGTAAATCCGTAGACCCGTTGATCCGCCGATCCTTCCTGCCCGCAGACATCAACTAGAACAACTCTTTAATGAAACCAGGATGAGGAGTTACAACATTTAATCTCCTCTGGGATTAATGAAATATGCTTAAATTTAATTGAATAACAATATGTATAAAAACCTCTCCAGATATGATATAACCAATGCAGGCATGTTCCTGTTTATAGTATTTTACGTCGCTTTACGGTGTCGCTGTTTTTGTTTAGTTTTATTTATATCGTTTTCTTCCATTTAGTTTTTCAATTTATATGCTTTCTTTTTTGATCGTCCACTCTTGTCATCACTCTTTGTTAAAAACAGGTCTCTCTTGTAAATGAGTCCTCGAGGCTCAATGAGACTAACCTGTAGAAATAAAGCTTGAATGAATGAATGTGCATATATTATTCAATACATCAATTTGTTTGATAATATTAATGGCAGCAATAATTACAAATGCAAACATGAACAGTAGAGTGAGGAAGTGTTTGTCCTCCAGCTGACAAAGCCTATAGCAGCACAACTAAGAAGTAGCTCAGGAAACCCAAGACACCCCTAACTATAGTATTTATCTAAACGGATCGAGCCTAGTCTTAAAACTAGTGTCAGTCTCGCAAATGGAAACTGGAAGTTGGTCCCACATGAGAGGAGTCTGAGAACAGACAACTCTGCCTCCTATGCTAATTTTAGAGCCTCTAGGAACCAGAAATAAACCTGCACTCTAAGCACGAAGTACTTGTTGCCAGGTTTCTGGAAATCAAAAACAAAGATTCTGTGTTTTAACTCCGGTTTGTTCACAGAAGTAGCACTTTTAACAGAACGGTGGTAGCACAGAGAATTGTGAGTTTTATGTTGCTAATTACTTCAGACACCAAAAATATCAAAGCGGGTACTGTGTGGAAGATGTTAAGTTGATGCCCAACAATTTTCAGTCAGGTCATCTGGACAGTTTATTTTTTTTGCTGAAACGTTTCACCTTCCATCCAGAAGGCTTCATCAGTCAAGGAAACACACAACACAAAACTGATTCTTCCTCCAAACGGCTTACTCCAAAGTGGAACAAACCAGTTATGTTGGTGCTAAGATGGTGTCTTTGGCACGCCCCCTCCTCTTGTGCCGGCCCTCTTCCTCGTCGACAGTCATGTTCAGCAAAAAAAAAAAACTGTCCAGATGACCCGACTGAAAATTGTTGGATTGAATACCTGGATTATTGAGCATAGACTTTTTTTGGTTAAGTTGATACGTTTCATGTTAAAATGTTTTAGTTTCATGAATTTAATGTATTTTTTCCACAGGTGTTGCTCGTAACAAACTTATATAACTTGTGTGTGTTTCATCTTTTAGTTTGAGACTAAAACAACCAAAACAGCCTCTTGGCTAAATTAAAAATCCCAGCACCTGAACAACATTTAGGTCACTTAAGTGACATTTATGTTTTAGTTTGTCGTGTTGTGTCTGCTGGTTAATGGAGCTGAGCATTGTTTGTGTGGAGGGAGGAGGGATACACCCAGCTGGGGGTCATTCTCTGCTGGTTCTCTTTGTTGGTTCCCATCAAAGCTTGTTTCTACTTGAGCTGCAATGAACTCGGGGGTTTCAGCCAGTTCAAAGTGTTTTTATTTCTAAAAGGCCGTGCTATGAAAGGCTTACAGCCAAGAAGTGTGCATGGATTCAAATAGGACCAGTCTAAGGAGGCAAATATTTGTAATCTGTTTCAACACAACAGTTTCTATAGTCTTGGGCGTTCTGCCTCCATTTTCCCTGCAGTCACACCTGCAGTCTATGCATTTGTTCATGCTGGCTCTGAAAACACCTTTTTTCTGAGCACGTCGTGCATTTTCTACCCCGTCATATTTAAACCTGCCTTCCCTCTGCTGCACTTGCAGACGGTGGTGCACGCTCAGAGTTGCATGTGCATGCCCCGGCATGCAGGCAGCTCGAAGCGGAAGTCACGACTCACTAGTGTGAGCAATATTCACTCGTCTCTCTGCTCCCCCCCCCCCCCCCCCCACCCTTTTTCATCTTTCTGCTGCTGAAGGCTTCATAGAGGAAACGTGACACGGTATCTTCTGCACTTGCCGGCTGCTCGTGACTCATGCTCCTACTTCCTGAGCGCGGCTCGTTTAATGCAGCTCCCCGTCTGAGCAATGTCTCACCAGGACATGTTGGGCTTCTCCCATAGCAGAAAACCATTAGACTCAGGAGCTGCACCATCAAAGCTCCACTCACTCAGCTGTGCATAGAAAAACCATATTTTGTTTGTGCTTTCATTTATTTTTAATCAAGCGGAGCATCATCGCGGCTGTTTTCTCTCCATCAGCAGCTTATGTTTTCAGCTCTACGCCTTTGTTCTCTTGTCTCTTTAGCATTAGCTCAGTAATTTTGTCAAATGCTGATTGTTCTTTATAAAATTAAAAATGTTCGGACCGGAGGCCTGGTACCTAAATTTGGCTCAGATCTCAGACGGCAGAGTACAATGTGCTCCAGTTCCCAGGTTAAGCTGTCCTGTTTTCTCCCCCTCTGATTAGATGTACGTACATTTACACCTGAGCTGAGCAGCAGCAGGTGCGACGACGAGCAGGAAACACACATACTAAACATTTCATATAAATCTAAGCTTTCTAGAGTCTAGCAATGAGCGTTGGCTCTGACCGTTGTACTATGAGGCAGGATGTATGTTAGCAAGGTGAATTAAGGTTAATTTCACTTTTTCCTCAAGCCTTGTACGGTGCTGAAAACCTAACTCTCTTTAGATTTCTGGGTAAGAAACACAAACATAACAAACCAACTATTCAGTGTCGTTGAGCTATAGCTAAAAAGCATTTCTGTGTGTAACAGTGGAAGTGTTGGCTCAGTGGTTAGCACTGTTGTCTCACAGCAAGGAGTTCAATCCCCGGTTGGACCTGGGGTCTTTCTGTGAGGAGTTTGCATGTTCTTCTCGTGCATGCGTGGGTTTTCTCCGGGTATCTGGTTTCCTCCCACAGATTAAAAACATGCATGTTAGGCAGCCTTCAGGTCCAGGCCTCCCTTGCAAAAGAGCTCTGTGATGTCAGTGGGATTTGCCTGGTTAAATAAAAGGTTAATAAAATAAAATGACAGTGGAAGTGTCTTTTTATGCTCTTACTTTGCGCATGAGAAACCAGGGAGTGGTGGCGCAGAGGTTAGAGAAGATGGGCTTGTGATCGAAAGGTCGCCGGTTCAACTCCCCATGCCAACAACATGAAAAAAAATGTGGGTGGAAAAAGTGAAGCACCCACACCTGCCTCCACCCTCATTTGCCCCACTCTGAGCCCTTGAGCAAGGCCCTTAACCCCCAGCATCTGCTCCTCTGGGCGCCCTAGATGCAGCTCCCTGCTCCACACAGAGGGCTGTGGTAGCTCGGTGCTCTGTGGTTGTGTCAGGAAGGACATCCGGCTTAAAAATAACCGTCACGTCTTCGTGCGACTTATGTGGCGACCCCCTGAAGAAGGGAGCAGCCGAAAGAAGAAGAAAATAAATTCATTATATTAAATATTTTCACGTGAAATATCTCTGCAGCTTCATATGATCTAGCAGAGAAGATGATCCTTCTAGAGTTTTCTGTCTTTTAGACTAAGGACTATTGTTAATTATTAAATGGCTCTAAACTAGAAAACTACATTGTTGTCTGTCTTTGTCCATTCGTGTTCATTTCCATAGAGATGTTGTAAAATGTTTAAAATCTTGATTAAAATCACTGTTTACATTTTAAAGCAACATTTAAGATTCTAGTTGACATAAAAGGGGATTAAAAACAAACCTCACTGGACTGAACTGTTTTTAAGTATATTTAATCTGCTTTGTAGTATTGGGCTCTTTGGCCCTCTACACAGGATTTTTGGAGATCAAAATTAATGGAAATAATCAATTATTGTATTGATAACCATGACGGTACAGGCTAGTTTCAGCAGAGCGCTCTAGTTGTCTAAAGTCTTGATTCAACTTTTCTTTTTCTTCTCTGGCGTTTGATTCTAATAGACGTGTAATCTTATTGTGTTGTTTTAAACTTTAAATTTGATCTCTTTATTTCTTCTTTTATTTCATCTTCATGGACTTTATTTCATCCGTTGTTTTTAGCTTTTTTTAACATGTTTTTATTATTTTTGGGGATTTTATTACCGGGTAGTTGTTCAGCACTTAATCCAACGTGAATAGTTTAAAACTTTTTTTTAACTTTTTTTTATTTTTATTACTGACATTGACGAAACAATTTTCTGTGGCACAAAATATACACGATGTAATACACAAAACAAAACATACTGATCAGTTACGATAAGACAGAACTTTATTGATCCTGCAGGAAGTGGTGGCTCAGAGGTTACAGAAGATGGGCCTGTGATCGGAAAGTCACAGGTTCAACTTCCCGGGCTGACGACATTAAAATGTGGGTGGAAAAGGTGATGCACCCTCATTTGCTCCACCCTGGGCCCTTGAGCAAGGCCCTCAACCCCCACCATCTGCTCCTAAACAGGTCTCTCTTGAAAATGAGTTCTTGTGACTCAATGAGACTATCTGGATAAATAAAGTGAATAAATAAAAATAAAAAACAAGGAATTCACTGTTTTAATTCACTGAGGCATGTTACTGAGGAAGAATAGTTGCACTAGAAATCATCAAACAAGGTCATTCTACAAAAGCCTTTCTTATTCTGATTACTTTAAATTAAAAGTTGAGGCTTTTTGATAAAAAACATAAAAAACGTCGAGGTAAATGAAAGTCTCGGCCTCCGTTAGAAAAAGCTCAGTCAGCCTCATTCACCACCTTGACCTCTTTTTATTTCTTTACCTTTAGAATTTATTATTTCAGAGATACTTAATATTAATTGTCCCACAAATACAGAGTAAACATGGGTCTGTTTAGTGCAATGTTTATATATTATTTGGGGCTATACACCAAAATAAATAATAAATAACCCCCCCGTTCTATTCTCGGTCTTTCTTTTGGTCCTAACCTGTATAGAAATACCATTAAATGTAAATGGTTCATTGTAGCTCTTTAATGGCAGAATATCACAAACTATAGATTTAATATGAAGTGTTTCTATAAAACATATTGAAATATCTTTATTTAACTTCAAGTTGGTTTATCAACTTTGGATAAATTTAATTTAAAGGAGTAAAACTGTCCCATCAATAATACTTTTATGTGATGGTTTGTAGTCTTTTTTTTTTATTTTTTTGCATTACAGGTGAAAATAATCTGAGCCATTTTGAGTTTGTATTTTATAATCCTACAAATCACACCCAGCTTGTCGGCCCTGTGCTCTTTAACAGTGGTTGATGCTGATAAAATCCCATCTGCTCCACTTTGAAACGTGCACCTGCTCCGTGTGAGTCAGCAACACGCGCTAGTGCTGTCCCTAAGCAACGTCCTCCTCCCTACCACTAAACAAGGTCTGAGTTCATGGTCCTCGGTGGCTTCAAGCAACCAGAACAAAACGAGTGTGAAAAACAAAATTCGCATTTTCATATAAACCCAGACTTCGGTGCATAGTGATAAAAATGGTTTGGCGTAAAGTAATGTGGAGCTTTAAATCCAGAAGAATCTTGAATAAAACCAGTGCATTTCAGAAAGTTTATATATTGACACTTGTGTGAAGCGTGCACGCCCTGTGCTTTTAAAGATAATTCCCTGCGTCAAAATGTTTTAAAAAGTACTATCGACCTCTCTTGGAAACCAATTACCTTAATGTAGGGGTCTTGTTGCAGCCACGGCTGGGACTTGGATGTGGCTGTAATGAAATGGGTGCATATAAGAATGTTAATGGAAAGTCAGTCGTGCTTCTTGTTTGCCTGTTCATTCAGGCTCAGCAACCAGCTCACAAAGGTTTGTCTGTAAAACCATGTGTTGACGCTAACTGCACAATCAAACATGTCTTTATTGAACTTTTGACTCCAAAAGTTAACCACACGAGGGCTGAAACATCATCGCTCCACCACAGCAGGTGATAAAAACAGGATGCATGGACTCAAAGGATGGAAAGACAAGTCAAATAAACGGTGCTGGAAAGATGTTTTAATCGACTTTGTCTCTCTGCAGGTGCCATTCCCAGTTCTTCAGGGGGAAGGAGTGGAATATCTTGGCAGTGCAGATGAAGCTGTCATCGCCATTTCTAACTACAGGCTCCACATCAAATTCAAGGACTCGGTCATCAACGTGAGTGTCGGACCGTAGAAACGTGCAGAGAAGCCTCAAACTTTTTGCTCCAGTGCAAATGACACAAGCGTCTGAGTAATTCCTAGTTGTGCCGTGCCACACCGCTGCAGGGGCCAATCACAGGAGAGAGGATCGAGTGCTCAGCTGGGACACACACAGGCTTTTCCCTTCCCCCTTTAATTTGTTTATAAATGTATAACTACGCTAACAAGGCAAATAAAGCAAGAGAATTTTAGACGAGGCACTCAGAAGGTAGTTTAGTCTTATTGACAGTGAAGTTGTTTGCAGCAGGCTTGCGCCACACAAGTGGTGTTTTTTCTGAACTACGGACAAGAAAGCGTTTGATGTGACATCCAAGTACCCAAGCCCAGCCCCCACTGGCGCTGAGGTCCACCAGCCCCCTCCTGCTGACGTCAGGCCTTGCTCAAACACAAACGGGCATATTGTTTATACTCCCTGGCAGTGAAAACTCCTCCTTCCTAAAGTCTTGTCGTCTTCTCGAGAGAGAGGTTTCGTAGTTGGAACTCACGGCAGGGTTTTAAACCAGGAAAGGTCTGATTACCTGGATGCTTTGGTCTAACGTGAGGGGGCTCCTGGATGTAGAGATGAACCGTGCACGAACGTCAGCAAGCCACAACCTCTCACCCGCACCTCCCTTCACAACTCACCCCTTACTTCTGAGCTGTTTTCTCACCCTTTGCCCTCATTTGTTTGTCTTTCTCTCCATGATTTCCATTTGCTTTGCACATGTGCTGCAAGTGGCACACGTGCGATTCACGTAGTGCTCTTTCCTTTTGCACGCTTTGGTGTTTCCTTTCTTTTAACCCCTCATTTCCCTTTTGTCTCCTAAAGTTTTTTGAGTTTAATAGTTTAATTTTTTCATTTCCTCCTGTCTTGTCCTCCCTCCCCTTTCTCTTTGTGTTGACTCCATGGTGTCTGTTGTAGACCTACCCAGGTGTGGACAAAGAGATCTCTGTGAGTAAAACATCTCCCTCAGCCACAGTCTAGACTGGTCCATTAGCTCCTCTTCTCTCTGCATGGTTATTAAGCACTAAGACGAGCTGTACCTACATTCAGCTGGGGGGTGATAACCTTCTGATTTTCTGCAGAACGATTGTTGGACAGGGCGAAATGATGAGTTTTTAAAGATTGCAAGTATTTTCTCATCATTCAGTGTGCGTTCAGCCATATTACTCGAAGCTTGAGAAACGGAGCAGACCTCCGCTGTTCTTCAGCAATGTGTGAGATTTAAATGCTAAGTTAAGATCTCAGAGAAGTCTGCAATGAGTTGAAAACTTCTCTTTGTCTCTCGCATGGACTGAATCTGAACCGAGCTGGAAGGTGGTCCAGTTGTTGCTGATGTTTCTGCCCTGGCAGCAGGCTGACTGCAGATGTTCTCTGCCTCCCCCTCCAGGTGCCGCTCAGGCTGATCGAAAGTGTGGAAGGCAGAGAGATGTTCCAGCTGCACATCATCTGCAAAGACTCAAAAGTTGTCAGGTAGGTGGATGAGCTCAGACGCTTCACGGTTTACTTTTGTACCCAATTCAACAGCTGACCTTTGTCAAACATCCTGAAATGTATCAGTTTGTCTTAAGCTCTAATAATTTAAGTGTTTGCTGTAACTGTTCATTTAGTGGTAATATAAAATAAACTTAAATTCAGTGGTGGTCTTTATTTTCTCCTCCACTCTTGTTCTCAGTAACGAAAGACCTGAAAATAAGTTTCATAGCTTTAAAGGTCTGCTTCTCATTACCCTTTTAGGTTTAAATAACTGTTGGCATGGCAACGCCAAGTTATTTTCAGTTCCACGTTGTTTGTTTTTGCTGGCAGTTTGAAATAAGTTTAGCAAGATGAGTAGAAAATGACTTTAACACAAACGGTGATTAATCTGTTTTATTCAAAAGCCTTTAAGTTGATGTTGAGCAAAATGTTTTGTGTGTATTATTTAGCAGTCCACCTGTTTTACTTCTGCTCAGCGTGGGAATCGGTACAAAGTTTGGTTTTGACTTCATTTTTTTTTTTTTTTTTTTTTTTCATTCTCTAATTTATGTTGCTCTCCAAGAGAATAACAAAAACAAGTAGCAGATTAAAAAAAATGGGTCGTTCACGTTTTCTCTGTAATCGGTCCTTTTTTTAAAATTCAATTTCAATTCATTTTATTTATATAGCATCAAATCACAGCAGAAGTCATCTCAGGGCACTGAACAGAAACATTCATATGTATGTATGCAAGTGTTCCCTCAGCGAGGACGGAACTAGACAAAAGGACCTTCTCCTGCTCCGCCCGTTTCCTGGAATATCTTGCAAAAAGAGCTGAAGCTCTCAACTTTGACCTCTCTAAGTGGCTTTAAAACCCCAAGTTCCTGGCAAAAGCCAATGCAGACATGTTCCTGTTTTTAGTTTTCTACATCGCCTTGTGATCTGACTGTTTTTTGCTGCTATTTCTCGTGATTGTCCTTTTGGTTGCTATTTTGTTTTTATTTGTAAAAAAAAAAAAAAGAAACTTTAATTTGTATGCCTATTTTATGACGGTCTATTGTTGTCATCATTCTTTGTTAAATCAGGTCTCTCTTGTAAATGAGTCCTTGGGGCTCAATGGGATTAACCTGTTTAAATAAAGGTTGACTGAATATACACAAAAGCCAATTAGTTAAAGTTCTCCATCTAAGGAATCCAGCAGACTCATTGAATCTTCACTTTGTCGCAGTCTCTCATCCTGAGCAAGCACAAAGGCAACAGTGGAAAGGAAAAACTCCCTTTGAACAGGATTTAGCAGTATTTAGATTTTTATTTATTATATATATATATCATTAAGTGACTATTCTTACTGTTTAAAGGCTGAACAGTCACTGAAGATCAGTTATTTTCACCAAAATGTATAAGGTTGTACAAGAGAGCATTGTTTCTAGATGTTCTATACCTCTAATCTTCATACTGGGTCCTTCACAGATGCCATTTTGCAACGTTCAAGCAGTGCCAGGAGTGGGTAAAGCGTCTGAACCGGGCCATAGCCCACCCATCCAGGCTGGAGGACCTGTTCGCCCTGGCGTACCATGCGTGGTGTTTGGGAGGCAGCGCAGACGATGAAGACCAGCACGCTCATCTCTGTCGCCCAGGTTCTCAGAGCCACAGCGTAGTTTAAAAAAAACACTGCCCTTTGGGACCGTTTTTTATTCATACCTTCGTCTGTGTCTCGTGTGTGTGCAGGGGATCACGTGCGTCACAGAATGGAAATGGAGGTCAAGAGGATGGGCTTCGACACGCAGAACGTTTGGAGAGTGTCCGACATCAACTGCAACTACAAGTATGTCGCACAAATGTCACAAACTCTTCCGGTCGTCACAGTCCTCCCTTTACGCCGGGCTGAATATGAAAGATGTGACCCAAAGTTTAATTAAACAAATATACACATACATTTGTTTTATTTTTTGTTTAAAATGCACAAACGCAACGGATAACGCTTCAAAAATGATCAGAAGGGTTTGAAGTTATTTTAACAACATAGTTTAATTCACGGGCTTCAACTTTAAAAATATACCCCCAGTTTTTTTTGTGTGTGCATAAGTTCGCACCATGTTCTCTGCAGTGGACACATTAATGTGAAACTGGTTGGTCAGTCTGGTTAGAGGACCCGTAAGAAGAACACACCCTGTGAGGGAGACACACACAGGACAGCTGACTAATTATACAAGCGTGCTGAGAGCAGTGACTCAGCACAGTGTTTTACTCTCTCACACACACACACACCTGCATGTGTGTCTCCCTCAGCAGGTGAGTAGGAACTGAAAATAGTACCATGGAAGAGGAGTGGGGATCAGAGACGGATGGAGTGGCACAGTGATGCTGAGATTCTTGTTTTCGAACTAAGCTGAGACTTATTGATCCAGCAGCGCTGTAAAATAATGCAGCCTTAGAAAACCTCTTAATTCAATTTTCAGTTCAGTTCGGTTTATTTATAAAGCTCCAATTCACAACAGAAGTCGTCTCAGGGCACTGAACAGAAACATTCATATACATTGTGAATGCCAGTTCGTGAAGTTATCTATCTAAGGAAGGAACCAGCAGGCACGTTGAGTTTTCACTTCGTCACAGTCTCCCATCCTGAGCAAGCACAAAGACGACGGTGGGAAGGAAAACCCCCCCTCATAACGGGAAGAAACCTCCAGCAGAACCGGGCTCGGGAGGAGCTGCCGTCTGCTTCAACCAGCTGGGTTTGAGAGGAACAGGAAGGAGAAACATACAGAGTGGGAGGTTCAAAATGGAGGAGAGCAGGTCCCTCTCTAGGAGGAACGATAAAAAAACATGTTAAGATAGAAATGATTATAAATTCAAACTTAATTTGATGAAATGAGGTCCGTTTGTCCTCCAGTAGTCTAAGCCTATAGCAGCATAGCTGAGGGATTGGTCAGGAAACTCAATCCAACTCCAACTATAGGATTACCTGTTGTTCCTCCTGTAGGTTGTGCTCGAGCTACCCACAGAAGCTCCTGGTTCCAATATGGATCACTGATAAGGAGCTGGAGAGTGTGGCTTCCTTCAGGTCCTGGAAGAGGATCCCTGTCGTGGTCTACAGGTAGGACCTGTTGACATCGGGGAGCAGAGCATCGTTTTCTCCCGCCTTCACTTTATCATTATAACCTTCTCCGTAACCTTGTGTTCCAGACACCAGAAGAACGGAGCAGTGGTTGCTCGTTGCAGCCAGCCTGAGATCAGCTGGTGGGGCTGGAGGAACACCGATGACGAGTACCTGGTGACGTCCATCGCTAAGGCCTGTCACATGGACACTGGAGCTAAAGGGACGGCAGCCAGCCGACAGCGAGGGGAAGCTCCTGATTCTTGTGACAGTGATTTTGGTAAATCTCGTGCAGATATTGTTTTTAACATTGCGAGTACGCCCTCCTTTACTTTATACTGCGAGTACTGCATATCAGCTCCTGAAACCAGGCAGAAACTCTTCAGTTAACAATTCACCACAGTCTCTGATTTTGTGCTGCTTTCATTCTAAACGACTTAATATGCCTAAACCAGAAAGATTCCAGATATAGAACATTTATGCTGCTTTTTGAGTATTTAATGTAACAAGAAAAAAGACAGAATCGCCAAAAAAAAGAGTATATTGTTGATTTTTGAATGAAAAAGGAAAGTACTTTACATATGAAATACTCATGAATTATCCTCCACTCTGTGAGCATCAGTCACTCAGCATCTCAACAGAAACTGACACTTAATCCAGCATTTAATCCACAGTGCGCATTTAAGATTAGTACTGAATCGTTACATTTGGAGTTTAGTTAAAAATGTTTTTTTTTTTAAGTAATTTTTATTTTCATTTTAGTTTCAATTTGGTTTATTCATATAGCGCCAAGTCACAACAGAAGTCATCTCAGGGCACTGAACAGAAACATTCATATATAAAAATAATAATTTAAGACTTTATCTGAGGAGCAGACTGCTTTTAATTTAACTCCACAGAACTCTCATCTATAAATTTATGTAGCTCCTGTCATTCAGGACTGCAAAATGTATATTTGACCAAATTATTCATTATTTATCAGTAAAATGCTTGGATAAGATATTTAACTGCAACTGAGATCAGAACTAATTTAGAATTTAAAGGGATATTCCACCTATTTTGAAGGGGATTGCCGTGAACGGTTATGAAGAATTGTATGTTACTTGCAGTCGATAGCTCTTTTAGAAACGGATTAATTCAGATTGAACTGATTAGTGTTGAACCTCACTGCTGTTGCTGGTGTTTGTGCGCGCAAATAACCACAAACTTCAGTTTACACCTGTGAACGTAATGTGAAGCTGGTGTAAAGGTTTAAGGAAAAGATCTAGATAGAAATATAGATCTATATGTATAAAATAAAGCCATAATACATTCGTACTGTAGATGTAAATAGATTAGTTTAAAAATGGCAGCAATCCACTCTTAATTCCCCCAAACTGAGATGATTCAAAAAGTTATCGACAACAGGTAAGATAATGAGTCTTCATCATTTTTTCCACTGAACTGAACCAAACTAAAAGGGCTGGAAAATGCTTTTAACTGGTTCTACTTTCACACACGGGGCTGTTTCTAGTTTCTAAAGGAGTAAATTATAAAGCTTGCATTCGTGGTTCTTGATTTACAAGCTGCTGTTTGTCAGTGTGACTTGAATTTAAATCAGATTGTGACAAAGTATAGAAGTCAGATGCAGGTACAGGGTGTTCACTAAGTGGCAGCTCATCGCTCACTGGTTTTGTGTAGAGGTGTACTTCACTTCCACAATGATCACTCGCATCTTACAAGATGACTCTTTAAAGCAATCTTGAACCAACTTTGGCTGCCTGCCTGGGAGGAGTCGACAGGACAGCCCCCAGAAACCATCTTATCACCAGCAAACTGGTTGGTCCACTAAAGGAGTGTACAGCTTAGTGGGGAAAACGGTTTACTTGGGACTCCTCAGACTGATGAAGCCCTCTGGATAGAGGGCGAAACGTCTTTCCACAAAAAAGAAACTGTCCAGATGACCTGACTGAGCTTTATTGGATTTTGTACCTGGATGATTGAGCATGAACTTTGATGTCTTTGAAGCAGATCTTCCTTTCAGCACATGTATTGACTCGGCTCTGTTCTTTTTTCTCTAGACTCGTCTCTGACGGGCGTCTCTGGCTGTGATGACAGCACGGTCCCAAAGAAGCTTCTGATTCTGGACGCTCGCTCGTACACGGCTGCAGTGGCCAACAGAGCCAAGGGTGGAGGCTGCGAATGTGAGGGTGAGTGTCATTTAACTTTCTTCCCCCTCACTTAGGAACGTAATTAATGAACACTATCTGGAGTGTTTGTTTGCAAACGTGGTTCAGATTCTACTTCATTCGCTCTTTTTGTTTACAGAGGATTGGTCAGAACTTTTGAAGTGGTCTGTTGAAGCGTTGGGATCAATATTAATACATTTATTACCAATTTATTAGCACTTATACATTTTTCTGAACAGGAAGTGCTATAGCTAGCTGTACACTATTTGCACTTGGAAATATCCAAGATTTTATGCAAACAGTCTATTGTGAAAGCCATTTTTAAATTGTATGCAAATAATCATGCAAAGAGTTGTCTATTTGATCGAATCTATAGTAGAGCTGTCATGTCTATCCTGGGCCCGGCCCGAATTTGGGCAGGGTTGGGCCATAATAATGTTCTGGGTGGGCAGGACAGGTCGGTGTAGGGCTTTTGATTGCGTCAGCGGATCAGCCGTGATCCAATTATATGGCAACATGGCTTGCCATACAATCTCCAACCGCACGCGGCCATTTCACCGCGAGCTGACCGGCCTTGAAAGAAATAAAATAAAGTTCAGTTAAGCTTCAGATGGACTGTACTGCCAGGAAGTGATCCATCGCCCAACTGGACGTTCTGCTGCTGCGCTCAGTGGACGCCCACAGCCGACGACTCAAACCAGTGGGATCACAAAGCAGACATGTCAGAGCAGGGTCCGTGTCTGAATGATGCAGAGTGCAGGCAGAAGCAGGGATTTAATGCGCTTTGACGGCCATGCAAGGACAAACACCCCCTCAGCTCCGATCTTCTTCCCCTTTTATTCAGCTGCGTCCACGACCGTTAATAACTGTATAAGCGGTCAAAGCTTAATTAAAGTTTTGTTTTCCGATGTCGGACCTGTAATTACTGTTAATTCGTCGGGTCGGGTGGTGTTCGGAAATGTTGGCTCCGGGTCGGGTCGGATTTTTTGCACCCAAATGCAACTCTAATCTGCAGAGCCACAAAAAGATCTGAACTGTCTCTGTAACGGTGAATCAGAACTGTTTGTTCTTTCAAAGCATCAAGCCGGACAGTTTGTAACGTGGAAACGTAGGACTGCTGTGTCTGTATCTTGTCTGCGTCTTTCAGCGCTGAACTACTTTGACCTACATCCGAGTTGTTTGTCTTTAGAGTACTACCCCAACTGTGAGATAATGTTCATGGGAATGGCCAACATCCACGCCATCCGCAACAGCTTCCAGGCTCTGAGGGCCGTCTGCAGTCAGATCCCAGATCCAGGAAAGTAAGTCGATCTCTTTGACCTTTCCTCAGCAGTTCTGTCCTCATTTGCACCTCCCTCCCTCCCTCCCTCCCTGTTTTGATGCAGTAAAATAACCGTGCTGAAATGGGATCGCTGCCACCATGCTGTCCTGTTCTTGCACGTCTCACCAAAAGCAACAACTCAAGCTTGTGTTTGTATTTTTCAGTGAGCTCAGTGTGTTCTGCATCTGAGGCTAAAACTGATACTTGAGTAGTTCTGTATAAATTACATGGGTGAACCCAGCTCATCATGTGCTACTTTAAGGCTTGTTGTTTTGATGAAGGTATGTACAAACACGGAGTCCTCTGCAGAAATGGGTCAGCAGCTCCCAGAGTTTATATCGGCTGTAAAGCCCACGCTACATGTCCAGAGTGATGGAGATGATCCATACAGTAGAAAGGCTCCAGAAGCCTTTTCGATGCGTCACTGCTGCAGAAAGCCTGCTGAGACTTCTGAAACCATCTGAGACAACTCTTAAAAATGTAAAAGCACTGCCTCCTGAATAATTTGTTCTGTTAGAAAATTAAAAAGCTGTGTACGGAGAAATGGTCTCCGTCAGCTGAGAAAGATATCGCCCTTCAATTCAGCTTATTTATTTATGTAGCAGCAATTAAGTCATCTCATGGCGCCCATGCAAGAACAAGGAACTAGTCCAAATGTTCAGATTTCTAAAAACGTCAACCAAAAACTGATCTCAAAAGCTCTTCCTATAAGTTTAATAGATGGAAAGCAACATCATTAATTTCCATGCACAATATTAGGAAATCAAACGGTTATTATATTAGTGTAAAATATTGCTATAACGGTTTCTGTTGCAAAATCATAAGTCTGCTGTGGTTATTTAGAGGAATGGAGGTTATTCATTCAACCTTTATTTCTACAGGTTAGTCTCATTGAGTCACGAGGACTCATTTAAAGAGAGACCCGTTTTAAACAGACAACATATAAAGTACAGACAACAATAATCCAACAAAAGCAATTAAAATTAAAATTCATTTACCAAATTTGTATATTTTGCATGCAGTTTGTGTCCACAAATATTTTTTATAAACTTTTGCGATGTCAATATTGCACACACTAATATTGTAATATTAATAAATTGTCAATATATTGTGCAGCCCCAATTAAGACATTGAACTATGAAAGAGTTCCTTTTCATAAAATGTCATACTTCTCAACTTGCATGGACTTGTATCTAAACATTTTATATCCATAAACATCCATTATCTTTACCCGCGTCTTCCTTTTTGGGTCACTGGGATCACTGTGTGAGAGGCGAGGACCACCCTGGACAGGTCTCCAGTCCATTACAGGGACACATGGAGACAAATGAGACAACCATTCTTGTTAGATAATTTAATTATCCTATCATTATCATATAATATGTAAGCCACACAGGAAAGGAGAAGATCTTTCTTAGCCCAGGTTTAATCTTTGAAGAGGAGCTGCAATGAAATACAAGCATCAAGATGTTGAATGTCTCTTTGTCTCCAAGGTCTGCTCATAGAGAAAGAGTTAACAAAAGCTTAAATACTCGTTATCAGACAGAGACGAGGTCAAGACAACGCTGCTTCACAGCTTAGGGCCTTGAAGTTTATCAGGTGCACAGGCTCCACTTCACCAAGACAAAACTAACACGCATGCTTATATAACATTTGACATTAGTAAGTGGAAAAACATCCATGACCTTTACATCCCCATCAATTCACTCTCTCACTCTCATCTAGGGACAATTTAGAGTTACCAACCAGCCAAACATGCATGTTTTTGGTCTGTGGGAGGAAACTGGAGCACCTGGAGAAAACCCATGCACGGAGAGAACATGCAAACTACACCCAGAAGGGACCGGGATTTGAACTGAGGCGACCTGCTCGCTGAGAGGCTGCAGCTCTAACAACTGCGCCACCGTGCTGCCCCATAAATATCTAATAAATAAATACATTTCTATATCCATCTTCCAAAACGTTTTTAAACTATCAGCTAAAATCCTATATTATTTATTGAGCAATAAAAATCTGGATGACCAAAAATGAATTTTCATTTGCATAAAGCACAATGTTTTCATAAAGTAGGTCCATATAGAAAGTTTATTTTGTTACAGCTGCGTTGATTTACTCGTTTGATTCCCAGCATTGCCATGTCTATAATCAGGGTTAGTTAAACAGGTTCACCCAAATTATATCCTAGAAATGTTGACGCTGCCTCCTATTGTCCTAGTTTATACCAGCTAGTGGTTATATAATCACGGCTCTGTTGTGTTTCCAGCTGGCTGTCGGCTCTGGAGAGCACCCGTTGGCTGCAGCACCTGTCCGTCATGCTGAAGGCAGCCACTCTGGTGTGTTCAGCGATGGAGTGGGAAGGCCGGCCTGTCCTGGTACACTGCTCAGATGGGTGGGATCGCACTCCCCAGATAGTAGCCTTGGCCAAGATTCTGTTGGACCCCTACTACAGGACATTAGAGGCGAGTCTGCGAGGTTTAAACTTTGGGGTTTAGGAGACATGCTGGCAGATTTTCCCCTCTGAATGTTGGATCACTAATAGATCATCTGGCCTCCTTCTGTGATGTTAAATTAATGTTGCCCACAGGGGTTCCAGGTGCTCGTGGAGACCGAATGGTTGGACTATGGTCATAAGTTTGGGGACCGGTGTGGTCACCAGGAGAACACAGACGATGTGAGCGAGCAGTGTCCCGTCTTCCTGCAGTGGCTGGACTGTGTTCACCAGCTGCTCAAGCAGTTCCCCTGCCTGTTTGAGTTCAACGAGGCCTTCCTGGTGGGTGGCTGCCTTCTGTGCTCGCCATGTTTTTCCTGACCCACTAGTTCTCTGTGACCATTTTCGTCTAGAAACTTCAAAAGTGTGAAGGCATCGCATGAAACCTTGTATTTTTCGACAGAACGTATTTTGTTCTCAGATGTTGCCCATTACTCATCTGTCACACTAACCTGACCAGAAGAGAATAAATGTGCCAAACGTGCTAACACGATGGATCGTCTCCTCCCATCCAGGTCAAGCTGGTGCAGCACACATACTCGTGTCTTTACGGCACGTTTCTGTGCAACAATGCTCGTGAGAGGGAGGCGAAGAACATCTACAAACGCACCTGCTCTGTGTGGTCCCTGCTGCGGACGGGAAACAAGAACTTCCAGAACTTCCTCTACGTCCCTGGCCATGATGTGGTAACACCGTTTTACAATAATCTACATTTTTGGTAAAGATTGTTGATGTTGTGGCCTAAATGTTAGATTCTTGAGTTCTTTTTAAATCGGCACAGAAACTAATAACCGCTTTAACTTCCAGTTATTTGATGAAAAATTTAAAGCAGATGATTAAATCTGTTCTAATTTGTCAGCTAATAACAAAAATGCAACGAGAGTGCACAGATGTAACATGGCAGACGCCATCATTACTTTATAATGACCTCCTGTGGTTGTCCTTGTCACTCGATGTCTGCCAGGTGCTGCAGCCAGTCTGTCATACTCGGGCGCTCCAGCTGTGGACAGCTGTTTACCTGCCCACCTCCTCCCCCTGCACTGCAGTGGAGGAGTCTGTGGAGCTCTACCTGTCTCCCTGCGCCACAGGAGACGAGCTCACGTCGCGCTCTCTGGACAGGTATGTCTGCACATCCGGTTTCAACTGGTCAGTTTCTTCCAAATTCAAAATGGAAGTTGACTTTTGAAGCATTACACTGCCCTCTAGTGTCTCAAATGAAGAATTGATTATTAGGTAAATGTTATTTCCACAGAGGCTTGGAAAAAGTGGCTTTTATGCACATTTTATTATCTTATAATTCAGTTCAGTTTATTTCTAAAGCACCAAGTCACCACAGAAGTCATCTCAGGGCACTGAACAGAAACATTCATATATAAAAATAATAAGTTACAAACACAAACTGTGATAAACCAACACAAAATAGCACATTCTTGTAAAGTGGAAAGAAAATTAAATATTTTAAATTTTCTTTTAAATGGTAAATGGACTGTATTTATATATCGCCTTTCTATCTTATCAAGACACTCAAAACTCTTCACAACACAATCTGTGCCTCATGTACCCATTCATGCAGCTCTATACTAGATCTGTACAAATAATAATCAGAGCTTTATCACATTCAGACACTGATGGGACACATCGGAGGCTATGAGGGCTTCAGTGTCTTGCCCAGGGACACTTCAGTGTGACTGCTGGTGGAATCGAACTCCCAACACTTGCATTGGAGGACGACTGCTCTAACCACTCAGCCACAGCCCGCCCAACTTTTATAAATAAAAGTTTGAAAAGTGTGACATCTATTTGTATTCAGCCCCTTTTCCTAAATCCCAGTGTGACTGTTGTCTTCACAAGTCTCCCAACGGAGTCCATGTGTGTGCAGTTCTCTGTATAATCAGCTGTTCTGTGGACGTGTCAGAGGTTTTGATACAGAACAGTAAAACTGCATCATGAACACCAACAAACACACCAGGGACCAAGTTACTGGAAAGTTTAAAGCAAGGTTAGGTTATAACCTCTGACTGAGCTTTGTAAAGAAGAATGGGCAAAGATTTCAGACTAGATGTGCAAAGCTGGTACACCACTAAAGACTTGCAACTGGTATAGCAACACATGGTGGATGTACTAAGTATTTACTTAAGGGAACTGAACAGAAAGACTCTACATATTTTTCTAAATTTTGTTTGATTACATTTTGAAAATCTACAAAAAAATCTACACATAAAATCCCAGTAGGGTACTTTGAATTTTGTGGCTGTAACGTGAAATAACGTGGACGTCCAGGAGATATGAATACTTTTTTATGGTACTGTACACATGGAAAAAAAAAAAGTAAAATGTTGCCCTCTGATGTCCAGGCTTCCCAAGACTCGCTCCATGGACAACCTGCTGTCAGCTCTGGAGAACGGGCTGCCTCTGACGCGGACGTCCAGTGACCCCAACCTCAATAAGCACTGCCAGGAGGGTCGCGCTGTGCTGGAGAGCCCCGCTGCTGTGGACGACTCCTCGTGTGCAGGCAGCTCGGAGGACGTCACGCCTGACACCCTGCTGGAGGACCAGTCCTTCAATCAGGGTCCTGACAAGAACTTGGAGTGTGTCCCAGAAGTGGAGGCTTCTGAAGACAGACTGGTGGAGCCTTGTCTTACCACACAGCCCCTGCCGTCTCCACCTCTCCCCTCTGTTTCTGCCAGTACAAGCGACACACACTCACACACTGCCTCTCCCACTCCAGTCCTCTACCAAGCTTTGCCACAGATCACAAACCCTCCACTCCCACCACCTCCACTGAAGGAGGCTGAGAGCCCCTGTAGGACTGCTGAGAGCCCCACGTCACCGACCCATAGTTCAGAGCCATGCTTACCTCTGCCCTGCAAGAACGTTCAACCTGCAACCAACACCCCCACCTCACTGCTTAATGGACTCTGTGATGGTCAGACAAACAGCCTCCCAGAACCTGTCATCCTGCCGGTCCTGAAGCAGCAGACTCCCATGGAGGACTCCACTGAGACTCTCACAGATGAGGGAGAGGATCCCCACACCTCACCTGCTGCTGTCACTCAGCTCCTTCCCCAGAGCCACGTTAGTGAGGAGGAGGAGGAGGAGGAGGAGCCACAAGTTCCCTCCCAGAAAGAGAAAGAGACCCTGAGGACGGATGTAGTGAAGGGCAGAGAGCGGATGTTGACGGGTTCAGTGGACTACACCCAGGTACCCACTCGCCCTCTGACCTCTCAGAGTCCGCTCTCGGACCTGTCCCTGCTCGGCTCTCACTGGGACTCTGTCCAGGGTCTGGTCCAGTCTGCCTGCAGCCATGCTGGTGTCATCCGGGCCCTGCAGCCCAACACCTACCAGGGCCGCCGTCTTGCCAGTAAACTCTTGCGTGCACAGGGCCCCAGCACTGCCGCGGGGCCCCAGTGCTGCCGCAGGGAGGCTCTGTGTTGTCCCAGCAGCCCCCTGCAGGCCGGGTGGGTGCCTGCTTCCAGGGGCTTCAACGGTCTGTGCGGCCCCACCGCTGCTGCCCTCAGCAACTACTCTCTGGCGGGCCACCTGTTTCTGCCTGGGCCCTATTCCTCACCGTCTGCTTCAAGCTCCTCACCCCCGCCCCAGACTCCCGCTTACCTCGATGACGACGGGTTGCCAGTGCCGCTGGACGCCGTGCAGCAGAGACTGCGTCAGATCGAAGCTGGTTACAAGCAGGAGGTGGAGGTGCTGCGGCAGCAGGTGCGACAGCTGCAGATGAGACTAGAGAGTAAACAGTATGACACCCCTCCCTCCGAGCCAGACGTCGACTACGAGGACGACATTGTGAGTACTTTTCACTGATGACACGTCGTCTTTGAAGACACGAGCACCTTCTCTGTCTGCAGGATGTGTAAATACTGACCTTTCTTATTTTCAAGCATGTTCTGGTGCTTTCTTCTGATATCACGCTCTGCTTTTCAGACGTGTCTGCGGGAGTCGGACAACAGCAACGAGGAGGACTCTCTGTCCACCCACAGTGAGGACCGTCTGTCTGAGGGGAGCTGGGACCGAGTGGAGCGCAGGGACACCGAGGTCAGCAGCTTTCAACCACTAATGGAGCTCCTGTTTCCACTTTTCTCTTTTTACCTTCACCTGCCTGGCCAGCAGCACTTCTGAGTCTCACTCACTGTCCCGTGTGTGTGCAGGTCACGAGATGGGTGCCCGATCACATGGCCTCCCACTGTTTCCACTGTGACTGTGAGTTCTGGATAGCCAAGAGACGTCATCACTGCAGGTGGGGCTTCTTCACAGGTTTTCTTACCTCACTAAATACGTTTGTGTCCAGAAATATCCATCTTTAATGACAAAAATGCAGTTGAAACCACAAGTTTACATACACTATTTAAAAATACACGTGTATTTTTTCATACCGACGTGAAATCAGAATAAACTTTTCCCATTTTAGGTCAGTTAGGATACCAACATTTTTTCTATTTGCAGCATGCCAGAATAATAAGAGATGATTTTTAAGGCAGTTTTTATTACTTTCTAATTTTAAACGCTGTTAATGTTTAGGATGAGTATTGTTGTTAACGTCCCAGTTCTTTAAGTACGGCAGCTTCTGTGGTTCGTTTGTACAAAGTTGTTCTAGTTGTCTTCTGGTTCTGCTTGTATCATTTGTCTTGTTATAAACATTTTAGAAACAACAAAATATTTCATTATAACAAAAGTCTTGGTTAGATTAGCCTTTTGATAATTGATTAGGAAATGGATGTGTTTTAAATTAATTTCAATATATAACACACTAAAAACAACTAATCATCCTTTTCTTGTGCTTTTTATTCTCCTTTACTCAAAAGTCAGTTGTTTTTGTGTAATAAGGAGTAAATAATCTGTTTGTGTGTGTTTGCAGGAACTGTGGGAACGTGTTCTGTAAAGACTGTTGTCATCTGAAGCTCCCCATCCCGGACCAGCAGCTGTACGACTCGGTGTTGGTGTGCAACACCTGCCACGACCTGCTCCTCGAGTCCCGCACCCGCGAGATCCGCAGCCAGCAGCTCAAGAAGGCCATCGCCACCGCCTCCAGCTGAGAGGCACGCTGCCAGGAGTGGCCCGGCTCGGTTCTGTTTCGCTCATTTCAGACCAGTGGGCCGAGCGTCGTGTTGGAGCCTCGACCCGCTGTCGTTCAGGCTGTGAGGTGACGAGGATGCGCTTCTCTGTGAAGAGACTGGAAGGAGCTGCTGTGAGCTGGAGGCAGGTAGTGGAGGAGGTTCTGGTTCCTGTAGAACCAAAGACATTTCTCAGCCCGGAGTGCTGCAGCGTCCTGCTGCCCCCCCCAAACCCCCACGACTCTGTCTAACAGCGTCCTGTCCGAAACCACCTGTCCACCCACTGTCCTGCTCTTCAGAGGACAATCGCTCCGTTCCCCATGAGTCGGGCGCTCTGAAGCCTCCACCTTCACTACTGGAGCTTCTCAACTTTAAAAGAGAACAGTCGCTGCTACAGTATTTAAAGTCTAATTTTGTATTCTCATTTTGTGCACTACTAGCTGTTGTGAATCTGACGAAGACCAAACTCGAGACAAAAGGAGAAGCCTGCTGTTTACTTCACTCTTGCATCTTATTTCCTGGAGGCAGGATGTACCGTGCTGCTGGGAAGACTGGATCGAGTCGATGTCCTCGTGGATTCAGTGGGTCATGTAAATGTTTATCGCTGCAGTGTGTTTTCAGAGTTTGTGTGTACGCACAGTCGATGCGGTTCTGTTTTTATCAGCACTTTTCCTCCAGCACAGCCACGTTGCTCCATTCTGAGGACTGTGTTCGTTCTAACAGGAAGAGCGGGGAGGCGACTGCAAAGGAGACGTTTAAAGGTGCTGCGGGCTTTTTGTGATGTGACCAAGGGAAACTGCTGAAGGTTTGAGCTGACGCTGTGTCCAGAGCGCCACTTCCATCAGACTGATGACCTCAGGCTGAGAACTGTTCACTGAACAGAGTCTGTCCGTGTCGGGGACGTCTAACTACAGTTCCCTTTGTGTCTACTGGTTGTTCCAATTGTGCCATATTCAGTTTCGTCTTTTCTGAGCCTTTGTCTTTCCTCTGGACGGCAGCAGGTTTCTGATCGGTCTCATCCACGTTTGATCTAATGGTGCAAATATTTAGCTGCTTAATAACACTGAGACACCCTAAAATTAACAAATTGTCAAGTTAGAGCTAAAAGAATGATGAGATGTTAATAAATTAGCGAACCTTCGTGGTTATCCATTGTGTAATATTTGGGATATTTTGCACGGTGTTGATGAAGTCCAGATCTTCAAGAGGAGCTGCAAAATAGTAACACAGTTATCTGATCAGTAGCGGAGGCTAAAACTTGTCACTTGGTAATTGTTGTAAAGAAAATGCACTGTAAAAGTTAAATCCCATGGGTAAAATTAAAGAATATATCAAAGGTCAGCTCCCTGTCCTCGTCCTTTATATCTGCAGCCCAAAGCATTGCAAGGCCTGAAAGTTTTTCTCTTCAAGATCAAAACGTGAATGCATCTCACCTGAAGCGTTTACTGTCAAGTCTCAAACATCTTGTGTCGGAAACTGTCAGATTTGTCAAACCTTCAATCTAAGGTTAAGAGCGACCTCGTGTGCCATGCTCAGGTGTGTGATGTGAATGACTCTCAGCGACTACCACATCTGATTTTAAACAAGGGTCTTTAAAAAGCCCTTTTTTGTAGTGGCTAATAGCTATCTTAAACTGAATATACTCAATCGTTGCTAAAAGTTTCAAATCTGTCCAGTTGTTGATTAGATATTTTGCTAACAGACAAACGGTTGATGCCCAACAGGTAATGCTAAAGTTTTAAGTACAGCTCTCATGCAGTAACACTTTCTGTAGAGCTAACTTCAGTTGCAAGTTGGTCGTACAGTGGTGCTTAAGATTTTCATCAGATTTTCATACGTCCTGAGAGTAACGAGAGCCCAGTTAAACAAGAGAGACTAAAATATTTTACTTGTTCATTTATTTATTGAAGAAAATGATCAATATTACATATTTGTGATGGTAAAAGTTTGTGAACCTCTAGGATTATCAGTTAGTTTGAAGGTGAAATTGGAGTCGGGTGTTTTCAATCAGTGGATGATGATCAGGTGTGAGTGGACACCCTGTTTGATTTAAAGAGCAGGATCTATCAAAGTCTGATCTTCACAACATGTTTGTGGAAGTGGATCATGGAGGAACGAAGGAGATTTCTGAGGAGATCAGAAAGAGTTGTTGATGCTCATCAGGCTGGAAAATGTTACAAAACATCTGTAAAGAGTTTGGACTCCACCAGTCCACAGTGTGGACAAATGGAGGAACTTCAAGAGCATTGTTCTCCTCCCCAGGAGTGATGGACCAACAAAGATCACTTCAAGGTGTGGAATAGTCAGCGAGGTCACAAAGGAGCCCAGAGTAACTTCTAACAGCTGAAGGTCTCTGTCACATTAATGTTGATGTTCACGAGTCCACCACCAGGAGAACATTGAACAACAATGGTTCACGGCAGGTTGAAGGAGAAGCCACTGCTCTCCAAAAAGAACATGGCTGCTCGTCTGCAGTTTGATAAAGATCACGTGGACAAACCAGAATACTGTTGAAGAATGTTTTTTAAATGGATTAGACCAAAATAGAACGTTTTGGTTTAAATGAAACGCGTTACGTTTGGAGAAACTGCATTCCTGCAGAAGAACCTTCTCCCATCTGTGAAACATGGTGGTGGTAGTATCATGGTTTGGGCCTGTTTTGATGCATCTGGACCAGGACTTCTTGTCATCATTGATGAAACAATGAATTCTGAATTATATCAGAGTTCTAAAGGAAAATGTCAGAACATCTGTCCATGAATGTCCAGAGAAGGTGGGTCATGAAGCAACACAATGACCCTCAGCACACAAGATGTTCTACCAAAGAACGGTTCAAGAGGAATAAAGTTCATGTTGTGGAACGACCAAGTCAAATCCTGATCTTAATCCAATCCAGATGTTGTGGAAAGACCTGAAGCAGCAGTTAATGTGAGGAAACCACCAACATCCAGTGTTGAAGCTGTTCTGTACGGAGGCATGGATTAAATATCGAATCTTTCTTCAATAAATAAATGAACAAGTATAATATTTTTGTCTCATTTGTTTAACTGGGTTCCTTTGATCTACTTTTAGGACTTGTGTGAAAATCTGATGTTTTGGGTCAAATTGATGCAGAACAATTCTAAAGTGTTCACAAACTTTATATAAAACGTTCTGTGCACATGTACAACGTGTGTGTATGTGTGTATATATATATATATACACACACACACACATTTTTTTTTTTTTTTTTTTTATATAAATATATTTTTTCCTGGCAAAAACCCATGCATGCACTGAGGAAAAAATACAAACTCAATCCAGAAAGGCCCTTGGACCAGGATTTGAACCGGGGACCTGCTCTCTGAAATGCAGCAGCTCTCAGTTGTGCCATCGTTCTGCCCACACAAACAAACAAATAAAACAAACAAACAAAAAAAATACAACATACTGCTGATGCTGGTCATAAAATTAGAACGTCTTGAAAAAGTTGATTGATTTCAGTAATTCCATTCAAAAAGTGAAACTTGTATATTATATTCATTCATTACACACAGACTGATATATTTCAAATGTTTATTTCTTTTAATGTTGATGATTATAACTGACAACTAATGAAAACCACAAATTCAATATCTCTGAAAATTAGAATATAATAAAAAAATTAAAAAAATTTTTTTTGAAATGTTGACCAAATGAAAAGTATGAACATGAAAAGTATGAGCATGTTCAGCATCAATACTTAGTTGTTGCTCCCTTTGTCTGGATTACTGCATTAATGCTGTGTGTCATGGAGTGGATCAGTCTGTGGCTCTGCTCAGATGTTCTGAGAGCCCAGGTTGCTCTGATCGTGGCCTTCAGCTCTTCTCAATTGTTGGGTCTGGTGTATCACCTTCCTCTTCACAACACACCATAGATTTTCTATGGGGTTAAGGTCAGACGAGTTTGCTGGTCAGTTCAGAACATGGTCCTTAAACCAGGTACTGGTAGCTTTGGCTCTGTGTGCAGGTGCCAAGTCCTGTTGGAAAATGAAATATGAATCTCCATAAAGTTGGTCAGCAGCAGGAAGCAGGAAGTGCTCTCCAACTTCCTGGTAGACGACTGTGTTGACCTTGGACCTCAGAAAACACAGAAGCCTTCAGTCTGGTCCAGAAAGTTGAAGAGCTTTTCAGAACAAGTACCGGTCAATCTTTCATGGAGCTCCCCAACACCATGGATACTGTAGGGAGAGAAGCACGTCTGTTGGAAAGCACGAGTCCTTCATGTCATGATGTGCGAAGAAAAATAACCAGCGGGTTCATCAGGCTGAGACTAAGAATAGCAGCAAAACAAATTCAATGAAAGAGAAACTGTTCTGTCCAGTGCTGGGCATCTTGGAAGTGGATGTCTGACACCCTGCCCCCCCCACACACACACACACAAAAAAAAACAATGCCAAACAGTATCTTGTACCACAACAACCAAGCCCCCACCAAACACCTTATTTAATTTGGCTGATTCTGCATAAGTTAGATTCAGAAAAAGTTGTTGCAGCGCTTGCATTTGCTATGTGACAAACTCATTTCTGATCACTTTGATTTGATTTTTATTTTGTCAGCCTCCACATCACCCAGTCAGCCCCAGCACTCCACCATTAGCTTACCAGCTCCATCTCTCCATCACTGACAGGTCTGACCAGTTCCACCCCAGTTCCACCAATTTGGTCATATTTTAGCTTACCGCTCTGTCAATCTGAAAACATGAAGATGGACATGAACTTGATCTCAGTAGTGTTACCTGCGGTAGCTTAATACGTTTTTTTGTTACTCTTCTACAGTTTATTGATGCTGATATATTCTTAGTAATAATTTTTATTTCTTGTTATCCTGATGCATGCTCAATAATCCAGGTAGAAAAATCTAAAAAAGTTAAATCTGGTCCTCTGGACATTCAAAAAACAAAACAAAAAAATGTAGAAACGTTTCGTCTCTCATCCAAAGGACTTCCTCAGTCTGAGGTGCTGTTTTCAGCTCAGTCTCTTAAATAGCACCTTCTCAGAGTGGATCAACCAGTTTGCTGCTGACAACCACCATAATTTAACTACACGGATTACACAGTAGAGTAGATCATTTATCCATCATCTTTAACTCGCTTCTTCCATTTTGGGTCACGGGGGTCGCCAGTGCCCATGTCCAGCAATCACTGTGCGAGGGGCGGGGTACACTCTGGACAGGTCGCAAGCCCATCACAAGGCCTGTAGATAATTTATGTATTTTTTAAATAATTTTAATTTATATTTTTATATTTCATTTGGACAGACTTTCTACCATCCCTTGGTAGTTTCTTGCCACTGAATAACATTTTCCTTAGACAGAACACGCTTATAAATCACAAGTGTTTAAAAGTAAATTGTA